ATTAATAAAGATCATTTAATACACGTTACATTCTTGATTTTTTAAATTACAAATATAAAATTTTAAAAATATATTTCATTTAATATAACTTTGTTTATGGAACATTGAATAGAGAAAAACAATATAATCAGTAACAGAGAGTAATATTAGAATAAGTATAATTAATGATATTTTATTTCAGCCCTGAAAATATCTTATAAATTAGATGGATGGAATCGTTACTAATAAATACAACAGAGGAAGCGTTCCTGAATTGAAGCTCAGGTAACTAAACTCAAGTGAGAAGCAGACAACAATTCTACAAACATAGGGGGCAGTGTACAGTGACATATAGAGAAGAATAGGGCCAAGCAATAATAAATGGGGCAATTAATGAGGGGGCCGAAGGCTTTGAACTTGACCATACGTTAATGGGCCCAATTCTTTTGTTAAAAAAAAAAATTGGCAAAAGTGATTTCTAGATTTGGTACTCTCTCTGTTAAGCCTGGATTTGACTTTTGACCTATATCCATATTTCCTCATTCCCCTTCATTTTTATCATTTTTTAACACAATAATATTTTATTTTTTCCCTTAATAAATCAATGCCATTTCAGTTTTTTGTTATATATTTTATATAAATTAAATTTCTAAAATTCATGTGAACGTATTAACAATTTTGAAAAATCCACTTCTAATTATAGTCAACAATGCTCAAATATGACTTAATAGTATAAGATCTTATATAGTTATCTAAAAAATACCGTGCGCATAATATATTTCATAATAGTTATAGCTTATAAATTGTATAATGTTGATAAAAAAAATAATAGTATTTTTAAGCTATAAATAATATAACTCATCAATTTTTCAAGTTTCTCTGATTTTTTAACACATTATATGAGTTTTGAATTTGACTCTTTTATCTATGACTACTCATGAACGACAACAATTTATGCTCTGTGTGGTCTTATATATATATATAAGTATAAATAATACTCCATTCATTTTAAATTATAAAATATTTTTAGATAAAATTTTATATATCAATAAATTTTATTAAATATACTTAACAACTTTATTTTTTTAAAATAAAAATATAAAATTTTCAAAATATCTATCATTTAATATATTGAAAAGAGAAGTGATGAAAATTAATTATAAAGAGAGAAAAGTTAATATTAAAATTAGAGTATTTAATGAAATATTAATATACTCAATGTATCTTATATTTTGGGATAAATTTTTTTTTAAAGTACCTTATAATTCAAGATGGAATGAGTATTTTACAAGGTTTAAATAAAGCTAGTCATTTCTCTTATGATTGAGATTAAACTTTTTTTCACTAAAATGCCTCCATTAGTAACGATGATGGTTATCAACTACTTACACTTAAAATTGCGTAAAAAAATTGATAGGTTTTTACTTAGAATTGAGATAGAGATGGTATGATTGGAGATGTACTCTCTCTTATTCTAAATAGAAAGTCAAGTTCCACTAAAATAAAGAGAAATCTTAAAATTTAATAATTGGAAAATTTAAATTTTATTTTCATTAAACGCGCCTGCTTTAATGATATATTATTACTTCACGCTAAGATTTAATGAAAATAAAGAGATAAACTTGTAATTTAAAAAAAATCAACTACAGGCGATGGTGCGTGTCAAAATTGGATTCCATTTCTACCCAGAGAATTAAATGAGCGTTTGGTTTATGATACGAGTGTGACGTCATCCTTTTTCCGCTACGTCCAATGCTTCATTAATGAGCTTGTTCCCATTCAAATTTGCTTCTTAATCCCATTGCCCCCAAATTCAAATATATTTTAATGAATGTGATAATTATATGCCCAAATATCGAAAGCAGCTAGTGCGTGCGAGTTGAAATTTAAATTACACAATCAAAGCATCCATTTGTCCCATTTTTCCATGCATTTATTGCCTTCCTCTGTGCCACCCTCTCCACTCAATGAATTAATTACTCATTAATTCCCCTAATCATCAACCCCTCTAGTCTTTCACTTTTTCACCCCTCTGTTACTGTTGCTCCAATAGAGCAATGTATCAGGTTATGCAAACTTGCTCAGTAATGCTTGGTCATATTTTCTATTTTGTCATCAACAAATGCTCACTGCCTAGCACTCTCCCCCATTCTTTAATATTTACTTCAATTTTTATTATAAAACATTTTTAATTATTTTATACATATTAAAAAAATTAATTTATTTTTTTAATCATAAAAAAGTAAGAGGTATTTTTATTTTATTTTTGGTTTTAAATAATAATAAAATTAAATTAAATGCCTTCACACTAATTAATAAGGGGTAAAATTAAAAAAGTCATTTAACTATTACAATGTATCCTATATTTTTAATTAAAATTACTTTTAAAATACTCCATCTGATTATATTTATAGGGCAGAGAGAAAAACTTTTTTAATCCTATTTATAAGTCACGTCATTAAATTTGCATAATAAATTTTTTTTTTTTCCTCCATTGAATGTTGGAGAGAAAAACATATATATTTAATAGAGAGGAAGTTAATAACTTATTAAATTTTAAGATAGAGTTAATGAGTTTTAAGATTTTTCTTAACACTGATAAAAATATTAAAAATGACTTATAAATAAAATTAAAAAAATATGTCTTATAGATAAGACCGGAGAGAGTATTGGATATCTTTTAAAAGCTTTTCTTAATTCAGGATATAGGACATGTCATAATTTTTATAATTGTCATTTTGACTTTTGTCCTAGCTTTATTTATTACTTTTTAAAAAATTATTAACATATCAGAATTTTAACTATCATAATTAAATACTCATGTAAAGTATTTAATAAGAGTGTAATTAGAATGAAATATTGTATATGTTTTTTTTCTTAAAAATTATTTTCTCTAATCTTATTTATAAGTTATTTTTAACATTTTTATTAGAGTTAAAGAAAACATTAAACTTCATTAACTCTGGTTAGAAATTCAATAAATTTTTAACTTTATTCTTATTAAATATACACAATTTAAAAATAGCATTTCCAACATTTAAGATGGACAAAGGAGTAAAGATAGATATTATAATTATTGAGGCAACTTTTAAATAAGATCAAAATAAATATTCTCTCTTTATAGCATAAATAGGACTAGTGAAGTAAGGTTTTACCCAATTTTTTTAATAACCTTAAGTAATTATTGAGGTCCTTTATTATAGTTGAGAGAGTGCATATAAAGTAGTTGGGTAATAAAAATATAAAATAAATAAAAATGGATAGTTAAATGAATAATTATGAAAGGTATATAGACATTTTTAACTAAATCTCATATATTAATAAAAAAAATTTATAGTTGAAAGCACATAAAACTATTGCAATTTTCAATTTTATTTCTAACAATGTCATAATTAACACTATGGCGGTGAGTAAAGTATTCAATTAACATTTCTTCTCCCTTTTCAAAACAACAAGAGTAAAATTATTCAAAATTATCATAACATTCCTTGTATTAAAAAACAAAACAAAACTTTTAAAAACAGAATATATATACTGGGAGAGGGAGTATTTTTGAGAATAATACATCATCAAGTGTTCATTACAGTTTGTAACATTGCTTATATCTAGTAACAAAGGCCTGTCCTATTTTGTTGCCTGTGTTGGCAATGGAAGGGGTAAATAGAATGTCTAAGTCACCTTTTTTTTTTCATAATCTATGTCTAAATCACCTTTAATTATTTTGTGGGAAGGAGAAATAGTTAAGTTATTAGCTTTTTTATAAATAAAATATTTTTCATTTCACAAAAAAATATTTTTCAAATTTGCCACTATCTAAAACAGGAATTGGAAAATAATTAAGTCCTTCTTATAATTGGATGCACTTTAAATTTGAAGAGGGACAACCCTTCAAGCAAAACATAGTTAGTCCTCTCTCCCTCTCTCTCACACACGCAGGAACTTAATTAATAATCCATCTGATAATAATATATAAATAGGAAAGAGTAATAGTATTTTCAAATTGCAAAATCTCCTACTACTAAATGCCAATAATATTTTCATTATTTTGAAATAAGAACTCAACACTCATATTTTATTGGATTTTAATTTTATGAAGAGATAGTAACATTATACAAATAACTTTTAATTTTTTGAAGAGTTAGCAATATATATTCTTCCAATTAACTTTAAAGTTTAAAATGTATTAAATTTTAAGATACTCCCTCTGTTAAAAGATGTAAAGCATTTTTAGTCTTTCGAGATATAATTATTATTATTTTTTAAATGCTTCAATTGATAATAACTTTATATTTATTATAGGATGTTTAATAGAGATAAATATGAAAAGATAGAGTTAGTTAGAAAGTAAATAATTACTTTATTGGGGGATGAGATTTGATTAAAAATACTTTACATTTTTAAATGGAGGGATATTTTTAAAATTGAACCGTAAAGTTATTTTTTCACTTAATGCTCAGTCAAAAATTATTTCAATAAAAGAAACTCATTCGTAACATATTAAAATATAGTAATATTACATACAAAAATAAAAGAAACTCATTCGTAACATATCAAAATATAGTAATATTACATACAAAACAGACTGTAGACGGGTAGAGTATATGATTCGTTTATGGAATGTAAGAAAAATGCATTTAATTAGATACATGCAACAAAAATGTATTTGATCACACCTTTTTAATCTTTGGGCCCAGTTATTATTGGAATTTTTATGGAAAGATCTAAATTTTAAATTGATTTGAAGTCTCTCTACTGTTGGTGGCCCAATAAAAAGTCTCTTCAATTTTAAATTGAAGAAGATTCATTTTCTTTCCCTCTACCGCGTTGCCAATTCATTAATACCATATACCATTGCATTAACGGAGTATTAATTATTAATAATTAATTAGTATTAATTTGTGAATAAAAAAATTTAAATTTACTGCTCCATTTTTTCCCTATCCATCTTTATTTATTTTTTATTATAACGGCCCATGTACATTTATTAGCGTATATAACTCCCATAACATACGAACAATTCATGAGCCTCTATCTATCCTCCTCTCTCTCCGAATCTCTCTCTTCCTCGACTTCTCCTTCTGAAGGCGAAGTAGCTCTGCGTAAGTCTCTGATGGCTGCCGACGTAACTTCTCTCGTTCGTGTTCTTGCCGGTGGTGGCTACAAGGAGGACAAGCATCGGACGGTGGGAAATGAATCGAACAGTGAGAGATCTCCGGTTCTGATTACTCGGGACTTGCTCGGCGGGTCCTCTAAATCTGTTGTTGAATCTGAGGAATTGGACCTCGACTTGCAGGTCCCCAGTGGCTGGGAGAAGCGCTTAGACCTCAAGGTTTCGTTTAATCTCTATTTTCTGTTTGTTCCTTGTGAAAGTTAATTTGGGCGGTGTCGTGAATTATGGTGGGAAAATACTCGCGGTCGTGGATTCTGGGAATTGAAAAGCTTCTGTGTAAATGTCACAAATTATTTTTTCTTTTGAAGGAATTTAACCGTGGAATTTTCAACTATCAAAATTTCGTTGATTTTTTCTTTTATAATCTCCATTTCATGGTTCTGTTTGTTATAATCCAAAACAGTGACCCCTGTTTCTGAATCTATTAAAACGTATTTTTTGTTCACTGCACGTTTTTGATATAGAGGGTCAATTGTTATTGAGAAATTGAAGGGAATTAAGGATCTGATTGTTTGGTAAAACTTGCAGACCGATGCTATTTCAACTTTTTTGGCTTATAGTGTAACAGCAGGCTGGCAATCAATAAATTTCTTTTGGTTCCTGTGACCTTCTGATCTGAACGTTTGTTTTGCTATCATATGATTTTCTAGCTGTTGGAGTTATCATGGCATGGGGCCCTGCATCCAAATTTCTCCTTCAAATTACTTTATTAGATTGATGAATTTTTTGTACTAAATTTTTTTCATGATTTAGCCTATGGCAATTCTCTGACAAAAACATTTCAATATGTGAAACTCATATTTTGAAATATTATTAGCTTCTTTGACAATTCTTTGGATCCTCTGCTAATGAATCTTGTGTGATTCCCTCTCCGTCCTTATGTCTTCCATTGGTTTTATGATTTCGGAATCCTGATCTTTGTCAATGATTTCAGTCAGGGAAAGTCTATATTCAAAGGTGCAACACTTCAAGCTCTCAATCAGTGTCAGAACACAAACTCAATTCGAACCCATCAGGTCCAAAACTTCAGGACCTAAACGGGCCTCCCTCACCATCAAAACTATCTCTCAACCTATTCGACGAGACAAGCTTAGACTTGAAGTTGTTCTCTTCTTCGTTGCCATCAACCAATTACCAAAGTGTATGCACCCTTGACAAGGTGAAATCAGCCCTGGAAAGAGCAGAGAAAGAGCCTATCAAGAAGAGAACGACCACATCGTTCTGGAAATCGTCGTCCTTGTCATCGCCGTCGCCTTCATACTCATCTTCATCCTCTTCCATGAGAGAAGCCCAGGAAGAAGAAAGTGTAAGTGGAAGAGAAGTTGTCATCTCCACTTGCAGTAGGTTGCCCCGGTTGCTTATCATACGTT